TTACAGATGATGACACAGGTAGGCATCAGTGACGTCATGACCCCCATTAAGGACGAGAACAACCCCTCCCATGACGTACAGCAATTGGGTCACGTGGTCCAACTGATGCTGACTATGGGCACCAAGGACATACCGTGAAATCTCCCCCTGCTATTCTTAAATGTCTTTTTCTATTATTTTGTCGGACCTGTCAAGAGATGTTGTAATTTCGTTGCCACATTTCAAAGGTGCAAACCATGAGCAATTTTATGCCAGACCTTCTTTTAAATCGAATGATATCTTAAACTGTAAACCATGTAGAATTATTCTTTGATTTCTGTCTTATTGAGATTAATACATATCAAAATCACGGTGATAAAATCAACTGACACACATGTAGTTTCTTTAGGATCTCGGTACGTATTGTTTATGTAGTTTCTTTAGGATCTCGGTACGTATTGTTTATGTAGTTTCTTTAGGATCTCGGTACGTATTGTTTATGTAGTTTCTTTAGGATCTCGGTATGTATTGTTTATGTCGTTTCTTTAGGATCTCGGTACGTATTGTTTATGTAGTTTCTTTAGGATCTCGGTATTATTGTTTATGTAGTTTCTTTAGGATCTCGGTACGTATTGTTTATGTAGTTTCTTTAGGATCTCGGTACGTATTGTTTATGTAGTTTCTTTAGGATCTCGGTATGTATTGTTTATATAGTGTCTCCTATTATCTGTATAATGTAGGGCTGTCCGCTCACCGACATTCTCTATACGCCATCTAGACACTCGTGGCTCAGTGTTCCATGTCATTGCTTTACCATTATCTGCTTGTAGTGCGTTCGACGCTTGGTTTGTCTGACCCTGAGTGCCACGAAATAGTGGTAACCTCTCGGCCATCTGATGATGCACCCGATATACAGATAAGACCCTTTCAATTCAATAGAATCCAGACCTTCGAACCCGCCCATGTGGTGGGACGAACGAACACTTCAATCACTATGATACCCATAGATTTTGGAAGAGCTCCTTTTATCATATTTTATGACATTGAAATTACCCGTTCATTTAAGTGTTAATGTAGAATGTTTACTGAGTTATCACATACTATCATTCATGATAATTAGATTTGTTTTAGTTAATTTTGTCAGATTAATAGAAGGTAAAATGTTTGTATGTCTGAATGGGCGTTTTCTGTGTTGTACAGTATTTGTTTAACATTTCTTATCACGGCAGACACTTCAGTTCAGTTAGATTCAATTAAAATATAGAATTGTAATGCACCAAATATACTGACAATCGTGGCTGTACAAGAATGTGCCCTTCTTTTGTGAGTTTGTTCACTATTGTGGATTATTGTCAATGAACATTAAAAAAGTTCTCCTCAAGTGTGAATTTGTTTTACAAAGGCATGTTTCAAGTACTCGTTAAACCACCCGGCGGTGTGACACTCGTCTCGAGGGTAAAGCTCCACGACACGGCGGTATTTCTAGGAGGGCTCTGTGAAGGGGACGTGGAATGAAGTTTCAGATAAATGTGAGGGTGGTGTTTGTGATCTCGGGTGGTGACGTTGATGTGTTTACAGGGTCGTTTAGGGTGACTTCAACTGCGTTCAGCCAGTAGGTCGTATTTCTGAGTATTTGTTGTGAGAAGCAAAGTTGCCAGTCAACATGGTGTTCCAGACTTGCTTCAACTCACCCTGATAAAGTGGTGTCCTACTGAACTCATTGCCGCGATCAATCAAGAATCTCAGCTCAAGATTCGAGATTCTTGCTGCAAGTTCTACTAATTTGAATATCGGTATTTTAATTATCTACGTTTGATATTTATCTTCAAGTGTATTCAACTACTGCTGCTGGAACTACTACTACTACTACTACTACTACTACTACTACTACTACTACTACTACTACTACTACTACTACTACTACTACTACTACTACTACAACTACTACTACTACTACTACTACTACTACTACTGCTACTACTACTACTACTACTACTACTACTACTACTACTACTACTACTACTACTACTACTACTACTACTACTACTACTACTACTACTACTACTGCTACTACTACCACTACTACTACTTTCTACTGCTACTACTACAACTACTACTACTACAACTACTACTACTACTACTACTACTACTACTACTACTACTACTACTACTACTACTACTACTACTACTACTACTACTACAACTACTACTACTACTACTACTACTACTACTACCACTACTACTACTACTACTACCACTACTACTACTACTACTACTACTACTACTACTACTACTACTACTACTACTACTACTGCTACTACTGCTACAACTACTACTACTACTACTACTACCACTACTACTACTACTACTACTACTGCTACTACTAATACTACTAATACTACAAACTGCCGCCAAACAACTGGAATATTTCTGAGTGCGGCGTTAAACAAAACAGCAACTAATGCTGCTGTCGCTCCTTCTGGAACTACTACTGCTACTACATCTGCTGCTACTACTTTCGTTCTTTGCTACTGCTACTGTTGCTGCAACTGTTACTACTGCTGCTGCTACCACTACGACTACTCCTGCTGCTAGTGTTACTATCAACGACTCCTAGGCAAAATCGTATTAAATCAAGATATGTATATGTTTGCGGAGGTATCATAAGGTAAGGATCTACTTATAATTAATAATGTATAATGCATAGCCTTATCGATGAGTGTCCCAACAGGTCCTACTTTACATAAGCTCCACGCATTTATGCGATTCCTGCTGGCTTGAAAACTGATGGACGATCTTACATTACCAACTACATGTTTAGATAGAGGTTCATATGGCTGTGTATGAGTGTTCTGTAAACAAACATTGCTGTAAATCATTTGGCACTGAAATGGGGCGGTTCACTCAAGTATTGTATCCATACGCGTTTTCATTTACTTGTTGAATACTGTTTATGTGGCCTTTTTGTAATAATGAGGCGTGTGTGTAAATGTAATATATCAAGAATACAAAGTATGTAACACACGTGTAAACTCCCAAATAATGCAGGTTTGTGTTGATCTTGCATAGTAAACACGTCGCACGTAAGGGAGGCAATTTGTGTGTGTGTGTGTGCGTGTGCGTGTGCAGTGTTACGCCGCACTCAGCAATATTCCAGCTACATGGCGGCGGTCTGTAAATAATCGAATCTGGACCAGACAATCCAGTGATCAACAGCATGAGCATCAATCTACGCAACTGGGAACCGATGATATGTGTCAACCAAGCCAGCGAGCCTGACCACCCGATCCCATTAGTCGCCTCGTACGACAAGCATGGGTTACTGAAGGTTCATTCTAACCCAGACCTTCACGGGGGAGACAAGCATGGGTTACTGAAGGTTCATTCTAACCCAGACCTTCACGGGTCGGAGGCAATTTGTAATAAGGTCTCATTAATCAAATGGACATATCTTGTAGGGAATCGAACCCGGGTCTTCGGCGTGACGAGCGAACGCTTTGACCACTAAGCTACCCACCGCCCCTTGATGTGATAGAAACAAAACGCTCCGCTGTCATATTGTTCGACGGGCGTGCTTCTTCGTGTTCACTTCGATGATTTAATAAAATCAGCAGATGGTAATATCGTCCCTTGAGAATGTCTGATGATTGGTTCATCTTTGCATCACGCCCTTCCTTTCTGGGGCGGTAAGGTTAAAGCGGTCGCTCGGCAAGCCAAAGACCTGGGTTCGATTCCGCACATGGGTATAAAGTTTGAAGCCCATTTCGTATGCCCCAGCCATAGCAGTGCTAAAAGCGGCGTAAAACTACGCTCACTCAGTCACTGTTTCGACCTAGAACTCTCAGATCTGTTTAGTACGTAATACGTAGGTAGGATATGTGCTGTTTGTTATGATGTTTGTTTTCACTTCAGTTAGTCCAGCTATATGCAAGCAGTATGTCGGCGGACATAATTTTTGAGGCGGACAATCCACTTATTGACATCATGAGAATTGATCTACTCATCAATGATGCGGAGACAGCGTCGGTCAAGCCACTGAACCTGGGCCTAGATTTTCGAAGCGCTAAGATAGTCGTAAGTGCCATTCATTAGCATTAACTTACGACTATCTTTGCGCCAAGAGAGCTTCGAAAATCTAGGCCCAGACCACTAGACCCCGTTACCACCTTTCACGTTGGAGTAGCCCAGTGGTTCACGTCACGTCGAAGACCCGGGTTCGATTCCCCACATGGGTGCAATGTGTGAAGCCCATTTCTGGTGTCCCCCGCCATGATATTGCTGGAATATTGCTAAAAGCGGCGTAAAACTATACTCACTCACTGAGAACTCGTGAGTGAGTGAGTGAGTTTGGTTAACTCCGATTTTGATCTATATTTCATGTTACACATAAGGTGCCTGGTGTTGTTTTCTGATTCAAACCAAAAATGATGCTGGTCTTAAACATATTCGCCTTGTATTATACACACGGAAAGCTACACGGCATCATATTCGGTATTCGAACTTACGATCTGGAATCCGGGCGCAGTAAAGAGACGCCTGCCGAGCCACCATCACCCCTTCCTACATGAAAACAACCGACAAGGTAAACAAGTATCGTATTTCTTGGACTGTCAATAGTACAGCGCGATACACAGGACTCTTAATGGGCACTGGGCAAGTCTAGCTATCGGAAATCTCGATATCAAGTGCATTGCTTTCCACTCGAGCTAGCAAGTCAATGACGGTCTTGCATAAATTGTTTAGAAAGGGGGATATTCACGAGTACGGGCCGCCCGCATTAAACCCTCGGTAATACGCGTGACGGACCCACCAAACAAAACCATCTAACTAGTCGCAGGTAAGTAGTACTGTTGTATTCCATGTTTGGCATATATGTGACCAGTGTATATAATAAGATACATTACCTACATTACAGTGTATGTAAAAAACCAGTGGTTGTACAGGACTATATTGTGATGTGTATCGCGGGGGGTCATCAGTGTTACTTCACGTATCGATTTTAATTAATTCCTCCGAGCTGTTATTTGAGTACTTTGTTGTTACCAGGTATGATTGGTTTGCTGTTCTTGCTTTTTGTTCAACACATAATGTTGTATCGCAGATAGTGAGATATGTGTATGATTTATTACCATCTCAAAATCTATATACTGCTCAAATATGTTGTGGAACCTCCGAATCTTTCATATTACCATTGTTAATCTGTCATGCTTCCCAATAATTGTTAGCATGGTTTTTCTGAATAAGGTGTGGTACAGTTTCCCCAAATAGGGTAGTCTAGTGGTTAAGGTGTTCGCTCGTCACACCGAAGGTCCAGGTTTGATTCCAAAAATGGGTACCATGTGAAGTCTTTTTTTTATGTCCCTAGCGATCGTATTGCAGGATTATTGCTAAAAATGGCGTATAAGCCAACTCACCAACACTCATTACAAATCGACATTGGCAAAACTGGTTATTATCACAAGCACATCATAAACTTTCGACAGTCGCATCACTAAGTATGTGGGTAAAGTGTTTCTCGTGAGTCCCCATGTTCGATCTTCCCATCGGGTACACTGAGACTGCCTTGATGATCTTATCAAGCATAATGTTCTGGATTATTGTTAAAAATGGAGAAGAGCCACTCACTCACTCACTCACTCACGCACCTTTTGTTTGAACATCCTTGAAATTGTAAAAATACTAGCTTGAATACCACTAAACTAATAATCTATACATTTCCTTGAACACCGGGCGTTTCAGAAATGGCTGAATATGAATATATTTCTTTGACGTTTGAGTGTAAATGAGTTTATTGTGAATAGATAGAAAGTCGAGAAATTGGCACATGTAGTCTATATCAGTTAGACCTTTCCATGATCTGATTGGAAACGATAACCAGGGTCCCGATCAACGGCACGTTCGTAATGTTACGAGCTATCGTAACTATATCGGTAACCGTAGGCTTACGAATGACGTAGCGCTAAGAATGCTTTTTTATTTGGTTCCTTTTCTCTGAACGTCAGTTTTCGTATGTTCCCGAATTTAATGTAATACATGATCTACAGATGTAGATATATAGATAATCCCATGCTATTCACTTCAGTTTATGAAACATACACGTGCTCCTTGATATAAGGTATTGAACATAAATACTCCAGATGAGTTGGATACAGGCTTTGACGAAATGTCATGGGACGTTGTGGATACAGAATATAAACACGCATATGTAGTTTAAGCCAAGTCACGATTATAATGACCATAGATGAGAGGCAGCATATATTGATATAGTTATATTTTACAGTATATTGCCATAATGTCTAGCTCCGGTATAGCATTGACGTGTAACGTTACCGTCTGTGTGTTACACTACATCTCGTGGTTTCAGTGTCAGACAAGGTGGTTGTATTCCCCCTTTGTTTCCGCCTCTGGCTGTCCGTGTCGAGCACCTGTAACCTACCTACAGTGCAGGCTTAATGGCTCACTATAACAAAACATACGTGGGGTCGCTGGTAATATCGTTCAGTATTAATGGGTTTTGATTTCAACATTAGTGTTTGAGGTTGGTGTGATTGTTGCATATTTTATATTCTTACCTCGGTATTTTTTCATACGGAACTGTATTCAGAGTTTGTTTTGATGGACTTTAAAGTTGAAATGAAAATGTTGTTAAATTTGATTGTGTCCCATGACCCTTAAGACGTCATGCGCACTCGTGGATATAATGCATGTAATATATCCTCGGATACCTTTGTCAAATACATTACCACCGAAAAAACATTTCTAGTTTGTTTCATACGAGCCACCATCAAACATGGATGTATACATTACGTTATATGATATATTCGATAATGTTACTTTATTTGACCATCTCACATAATTTTCACCGCTATTTGCCTTTACCGCCAAGTCAAATCTGTATCTGTAATCAAAGGACGTCATCTCCTTATGTTCTCAAGTGAAAGACTCATTTTCACCACCAATTTACGTCCAGATAATTGAACCTGATTTTCTGACCTAATAAATAAATCTATAAACATTAAGCCAGAGAATTATCTGTGAAATTGTACCAGTCGAAACTGTTTCTTGTGATTATGGAAAAGATGTAGGCGCTGAATAAATCCTCTCTTAATCCTGAGATTATATTACGTGTTCTAATATGTGGGTAGACAGATCCATATACAAAATACAAATTTCCTTAAGCCATATAAAAAACATCTGTTCGAGGAATCACATCTCAAATACCAAGGCATTTTCTTTTTTTCCCCATTCCGATAAAAGTACATGCAGCTAGATTTTACAATAATACTGCATGAAATCAATATTTGAAATCTGGAACTCTGAGCCATACGACTTTATATAGAATGCATTTATGAAATTAAAGATATTTAAGGCTATTAATGGACGCGACTATTTGTGTTGATACAATGGCAATTCCGTTATGATATAGTTAATCTTCGTTATCACAAGCCTGCATTAAGGGCTGTCAAGCCTGCCTTAAGTGAGCATGATATATGCCTTATTTAAGCCCTGAAATCCAGGATCCAACACAAATCACTAGGGATTAAGTTAAAGTGTTTTTTATTCCGATTTACACTGATTCAATCTAAAATAGATATGGCTGTCGAGTTTCGTTATTAATACGAGAACGGTCGCCATGTACAAGCGAGATATCTTGGAACGTGTTGAGCATTTGCCGTCTTTTTCAATCCTGTCATCAAAGTAAGATTGACGATAGCATTTGGCATCCGGTATGAGCCTCGTAATTTAGGGGAGTAATAAGACCGGTGTGTCTTGTTTAAAGATGATTCGATCATACGTTGTGTAAGGAAACTAGCATGATACCAAACTGTGATTCTGTTTCAGCAAATGTCCATTTATTAAACAAATCTGAAACAAATATATTTCAGTGAAAATTACATTGGTCTTTAGAATCACCATATGAAGTAGTGAAATAAATAAAAGCCAAAACTCTTGCATAATCAAATAATATTTGTGCTTAAAAGCAGCCCACTGTACGATTCCAACTATCCGAAAACTAATGATATTGTCAGGTGTTCAAGGTGTGAGCTTATCCTGCAATATTTGTTTTTCTTAGTTTATTTGATAGATGATGCAATTTGTAAAAATTCAGAAAACATATATTTTAAAAAAAAAAATACTGACTTGACAAAATCCATTTACAAATTAGGCCTGATGCTTGAATCTCAAGAGCATGTAATACCGTTCAAAGGGTTATATGCAGTTTTCAGTGAGTCATTAACAGAAATACAAAGGATAAACCCCTTTCTCTATCAATCATCAATCCCTCGGTTTACGATCCCGATTATAAGATGCTAACACGTACATGAATCACTGTGTAATAGACATGATAACAGGTGATCGCGAATTAAGACGAGTAAATCCTGGCATTCCGTATAAACACATGCAGAGGCGAGTCAATTGTTCCCCTGCAAGATTTCGTCATTAATTCGACAGATACCCCTCCTTTCTCAATTTACTTACAATACGAGCGACCAATATATTTTAATAATATTTTATGTTCCTAATGTCTTGACCCCAAACCTGTGTCACGTTATTAATACATGTATGTAGATAATAAATGGTCATCGTTACAGGCAACTAAAGACACGGGTGAAATACCGTTAAAAGGGGGATACACTTTTCAAAAGATGAGACCAACCTCATCATATTGTTTCGAAAATATGATTCGTTTTCCACTGCTTTTTTAATATCCAAATTTCTTATGCGCACAGCTGGAACGCCAATCAAACATAACACTGCCAGAAAGACAATTTAAACTCTTTAGATACCAGGATCCGCTGTTTGCTGTTTAAATCCATTATGATACATGGTTTATTAGTACCAAACCGCCTGGTGGGTTTAACAGGGACTTTCTAATATTATGAAAACAGTTGTGTCGCGTAAATATTCGCCAAAGTGGTAATCGTCTAGGACGTTTATTTACTTTAGACATTAAACTGTCAAGCCTTGAGATATCAGAGACACTTTCCACAGCAGTAAACCCTGATATCCATTAATTCGTGTTTGATCCTCCTTACCAACGTTTTGTCTGACGTTGTCTGTGATAGTAGTGTGAGAATGTGATCCATGCTCAGGTAAACCGAAGTAGGCTTCTTGGTCACCAGAACACTACTAAATACCAGGTTGTTTTATAATACCTGAAACACTTCAATTTACCTGTGAATAAACTATTCTCATTTTAGGTGAATAACTATTTAAAAATATCTAAAACCTATTTGGAAATATTCCAGCAATACGGCAACAACCGAACAACAACAGACTAATGTATTGTCCTAATCGAATCGTGGTCCTCGGGGTGAAAACCCAACGTTTAGCTAGGGGCCATTCCATCAAGAGATCAAACAGTTAGCGTGATATTCACAGCCCAGACGCAGGAATCGAACCCGGTTCTTCGGCGCTTATAACCAACACTTGAACCACTAGGTGCCCATCAACCATGGAAACAGAAAGACCGGTGCCCGGTTCCACAAAATGATCACATTCCCACTCTTTTACACCTATAGTCGTAGCGCGAAGATGGCCTCCAGGGCCCCGTTTCACAAAGCTATCGTAGCGCTACGGTTGTCGTAAGTCTATGTTACAGTATAGGAGGTACAGCAGTCGTAACGCTACGATAGCTTTGTGAAACGGGGCCCAGGATTGGAGCATATTATGGCTTGTTTATGAAAATTACCGATAATTTATAATAGGTTATGAAAGGCTTATAAAAGAAAAAATATTATCCTGATAATGTCCTGATTGATACACATGCATTATATATCAATAAGGTTTATAACCATTTTTTCATGAACCGCCTCCGTGGTGTAGTGGTTACGTTAAAATATGGTACTTGTTGGTCCCGCCTCAGCATAAATGGGTACAACAAGGATTGGTCGACTCGGAGTCAGTATAATGTGTCTTAGTGGGGTATTCATGCTTCACTGCGGCATGGTATCTCAGTGGGCTAGCACTATAAAACCAGCTTCAGTCTGGGCTAGTACAAGCAGCCGCACCTACACATACACACACATGCACCTCACCATTTT